CGAACCCACTTCCAGAAATTTATACGGATCTCGCAGACGGTGCCTGGGGAATTAGATGAGGAAAGTACTTCCTCCTCGCCGGAGTCCGACGGAGACACTGGGGAATTAGATGAGGAAAGTGCTACGACGAATTAGATGTGGTGCAACGTCGTAGCAATTTTCCGGCGCTGGATTTCGCACAACAGCCTTTTCTCGTCTTTTCGAAAGCATTCATTGGAGAACTCCCACCGATCAGGCATAACCTTCCCAAATCCCGAAAAATTCATCAGATAAGCAACTCAATCAATAACCGAAAAAAAAAAAACCAAAATTCCTCGTTACAGATCGAAAGATTTGATTAGCAAAAGCTCACGTAAGTATTCAGTTGCCGAACGAAACTGGAGAAATTGTTGTGCTTGAAATACTTGGGCAGCAAATCTCTGGCAAACTCACGTAATTTGGCCCAACGAAACCGACAATATACTAATAAACTATCCCACTGATATAATTTGACTATGGATCTCGTTAATCGACTATGGGCCGCCGTCACTGCTCCAATCTAGGGTTACTCAAATCTAGGATTACTCAAATCTAGGGTTTTGATAATTCTTCGGCCCATAGTTGATTAACGAGATGCATAGTCGAATTACATCTGTGTTAATATACTATCCCATATCATTTAATATACTATCCCACTGGTATAATTTTACTATGGATCTCGTTAATCGACTATGGACCGAAGAATCATCAAAACCATAGAATAATAATAATAATAATAATAATAATAATAATAATATATATGGAAACTGAATAATATGTTTGTTTGAAATACTAATCAATTAGGGTAATTTTCCTTATTATATGAAAACGATTAGGGTAAATAATAAATATATATGAAAAAATAATAATATAAATGAAAACTGAATAATATGTTTGTTTGAAATACTAATCAATTATGGTAATTTTCCTTATATCATGTAATAGACTATCTCATTGATCTAATTCGACTATGGATCTCGTTAATCGACTATGGATCCCGTATTATTCAACCACATAGTATATTAATAATTTCAATATAGTACATTAATCTGCTATGATAGTATATTACGGTTATAGTAGTGATATGAAATTGTGTTACAAACAATACACCACTGAAATGACAAGAACATTGAGAACAAAACCAACGTAAAGTATTCCAACATAACCAATAAAATAGTACATTAATAATCTCATAATTTCAATCTAGGGTTTTGATAAAATACTTAAAACACATCATAACACAATCAAACCAATATGTCGAGTTAAAAAACTCTAGTACATTAATAATCTCATAATAGTATAATAAAATGATAATGGTAGTATCATATGGTATTCATAATAGTATACTACTGTATTACAACGGTTTAGCACTTAACCGACGTTACCGAGCCATTACATCATAAACACCTCTTTATAGCAACCAACCCACCAAACCTCGAAATCATGTCCTCATCGTCAGCCAAGATACATTCACTAACGCCTTCCAGCCTATATGTCATGCTTATATCCAATGTTTTGAAAACCGGACCGGACCGGCCGGTTCGACCGGTTCAACCGCGAACCGGCGCCTTGTCCGGTCCGGTTATAGGTGAAAACCCAAAAAAGCCAAAAACCCGGGTCAACTACCCCAAACCCGGTTCGACCAGTAAGAACCGGGAAACCCGGGAACCAGTCCAAGAACCGGTTTTTTGCTCAAAAGCATGTTTCATGGCCGGATCTGGTTCGAAATTGCTCGTGGGTCACTGAATCTTGTCGGAGAAGGTTGTGGGTGATTAGATCTAGGCAGATTTGGGTCGTATTTTGCTCAATCGAAGTGGTGGCTACCATATCTATTGATTGAAGAAAAGAAGAGGAATAAGGTGAAAAAGAAAATAAAGAGAAAAATGAAAAAAATTAAAGTGGGAAAAACAAAGTATATATATGGAAATGGAGAGAAGAAATAATAAACACAGGGAGAAGAAAGAAATTAGAAAAAGAAAAGAAGGGAAGAAGAGCAGGGGGTGGGAGGCTTGTGCGTGAATGATGAGGAAGAAGAAAGAAGATAGAGAGAGGAAAGAGAAGAGAGGAGTAAAAAATGATTATAAATTCCTTTTTTTTTCTTTTTTTTTTAATGGAGTAAGTTGGATAATAAAGTAGAAAATATTGAAAAGGAATATAAAAAATATTACATTTAAGGTATTAAATAAATAAATAATTATATATATAAAAAAAAAGTGAAAAACCCGGTCGAACCCCGGTTGAACCGGTCGAACCGTGACCCGGTGGTGCGTCCGGTTCGATGTCCGGTCCGGTTTTCAAAACATTGCTTATATCTCACCCATCGAGTTGTGGCCACTTTGAAATAACAAATGCAACCAATGAACCGTGAGTAAACCCATTCGAACACCTCTTTATAGCAACCAACCCACCAAATCTCAACAAAATCCGTACAAAATTCGCCATCGATAAAAACCTTGAATCATGATACGACATTAAAAATACAAAATACTAAAAAATATATTAATATGATCAAAAATAAACTTAAAATGCAAAATTCATACGATAACTTAAAAAAGACTACAAAGTATATTTTAATGTACTACCCAGCGTCCTAAAATCCACTGTTATAAACAAATAAATCAACTATCGACCGGGATCAGACACATGAACTCCACGACCGCGGACAGTTATTTCAATTACTACGTAAACCAACTACGATGTTCATATAAAATAACTCTGGTCCAATCTGCGTGAACAATCCTTATCTAACTCTGTCAATCCTCTTCCAAACAAACATCATTCGCCAAAATTAACGATGTATATATGACGGAATAATTTTGTTAAAAAACGTTCTACATAATATAATCGAAAAATAAATCGAAAAACGCATCCTAGCCATTGAACGAAAAATAAATCGAAAAACGCATTCATACCCGGTTAACAACGTCCAACAGATGAGCACTCAATTCGATCATATTTCCACGACGGTGCAGAAATCTTCAAAGATAAAAAAACCCCTGGAACGCTGAAAGAGAACATCCGAAAATATTATACACGATTTGGTATAACGGCCAATGATCTCACGTAATATTATTCCCTGATTTTAGGCAACGTATCAGCAAATCTCAAATCACGTATTAAAGGAATTAAATGCCGTTTAAAAATAAACAGGGGTATTAAAGGAAAATTATATAATATATTTTGCCAAGTTGGCAAAATTGGGTCTATCTAAAAAAGTGGAAAAAAAATTAGATCTACCTCATTAAAAAATATGAAAAAGGGGGTTATCCCTAATAAACCCTATTTAAAAATGATAATTATAGTTTTAGATAAAATTATTTAATTTTGAAAATTCACCACTCAAAAAATCCAAAATTAATTTCATATTAAAGTTGACACCTGAAATATTGCGCAATTCTACTAGAAGAAATAATAATTTTGGTAGCAAAATATCAAAAATATACTCAGAATTTCATCTCTTTCAGATATTGTGTGAACGATGATGAATGTGGTCGTAATTTACGAATTTAGGTGGTGCTTGCAAAAAAAATTGAGAGTCGTGTATTTCAATTGTATGCCATTACAATGTTTTCGTTTTAAAATTATTTTTCTTAATTCTTAACTAATATTTCATAAATTAATACTCCCTTCGATTCAAATTAACTGTCGCTTTGGTGATTTTTCTTGTTTCAAATTATCTGTCACTTTATAATTTCAATGATGCATTAATTATTATTTTCTCAATTTTAACCTTATTACTATTCATTAATTGATTGAAAATTAATGGAAACAACATTAATAACATGATATTTTAGTCATTATATACTTTTCTCTAAAAGCGAGCACATTTATTAATTTTCTTAATATGTGCACAACAACCCAAAACGACAGATAATTTGGCATGAAGGGAGTAAGTTATTAATTAATGTATAAATTAATAAGTAATAACTATTAATTTATCGATAAATTAATAGGATTTTGATAGTCCCAATTGTACTAATTTGGAGAGGATTAACTGTACCATTAAACATCTCTATATAAATACAATCGAACTAGCAAAATTCTATTAATTTAGCAAATTATTAAATTAACGAATTAATAAGTTAGTACGTTTTCAGCAAGTCAGGACCGAAAAAAAATATTATTTAAATAAGCTTATTAATTTACCGAGATTATACTGTAAATAAATTTCTCAAGCTCCTCAGTGTTCTGGTCACGTTCCATTCAGCAAGAATTATTCTTTAAGGTCTCGTTTAGTTGACAAGATAAGATTAGTCGATATGAGGTTAAATAATCTAATGAAAACCAATTTGTTTTATCGGATCCCAAAACGTCCAACGAAAAAACTCTCTAGCATAGAAGATACATAATATTTCCAGGTAGACCCTTTTATGTATTTGGAATAACAAAATTTAAACAAAATCCAATTATTTAGTTTATAATGGCTGATCTCCCCAATACCCCAACCAAACGAGGCCTTATCATACAAACTTCCCAAAAAAAAGTTCAACAATAAAAAAAGCAGCAGGACAATGAAACCTACAAAGCTCTACATCTCCCCTAGCAAAATCAAGCCAGAGCTAAATTTTGCATATAGCAATCAACTTTTTACAAGTCTACAGCAAATTCTGTAAGCAATTAAAGTCGTAACGAAGTTATATTCGCCGGTATCTTGTAGCTATGAGATTAACGAGAAAAAAACTGTGCCAATAAAATTGCAAATATTAGCACACGCCTGTACGAAAGGCAATTAAATCAACTCCACACATTTTCACCATCGCACACGAAATTCTTTATTTTTCACCGAGGTCTATACAGACTGAGCCCATATTGCACAGCCGTTTCGTATTTCCTCAATTGAGTGACCTTATAATATGGACAAAAATATAAGCCCTCTAAACCACAATTAAATAACCCCCAAAGTACAGAATGTACATTTCATATATAAAACTTTTTCAGTCTTGGATATACTGTAATCCAAAATTTAGTACAATGGGGGGTGAACCCCCCTTGAATCTTGATTCCGGGAAATTCTTGCTTTCAAGGGAAGAACTACGGTATCTGGAAAAAAAAACAAAAAAACAACCCTATTTAGCATTGGAAGGAAGAAGGCGTAGTCGTTTCTTGTAGAAAGTTCTACAACTTAGAAGAGATAATTAAACTACAGGTATCCATACAAGACTTGGACGACCAATATATCGCTCTTACAACAATAAGTAAAAGTAAAAAGGTCAACTTACGTTATAACAAAGCACTCTTTTTCCATCACTTTTAGAATTCTTTAGCTAGATGTGCACCGGAATTCTACTAAAAGCCTGCATAAGCTTATGAATTAAGTAAAATCATCTAGAAACACAAGGTATCATTAAATCGCATGAATTAAATCATCTAGATACATAAATAAAACGGAATAAATTCCACAAATAGAAGTACGTTGGGGGATTATATAAGTTTGCGGGAGATGGATTCAGACCTGAGCACGCCCTGAAATCTTTAAAGCTTTAATCACCTTATTCGCATATTACTAAGAAAGTCGGAGAGCCTGAAAGTATCATTATTGACACGGAGAACGAATAAGTCAAATGGAGGAAATTGGTAAAATTATAGAGACAATATAGCAAAGCAATATCAAGAAAATTAGCAAAAAAAAAAGGACAAACCTAATATCTTTGGCAATAACTGTATTTCCATCTTCAGCTCCAAGATGGCGAATAACCACTTCCTCGTGCCGACCATCACCATACATGTGCTGTAAAATAGAGTAAATTAATTAATATTTGTTTCAATTGCTTCATTAAATAAATAAATAGATAAATGCATATGCGGAAGAAGCACCAAGTGGAAAAAAATGAACATAATGTTTCCAAAATTCACGGAAGTCATATATAATAGTAACAAAGAAAATTGTTATCTACCATCTAAACGACAAAAATGCATGTACTACATCAGCTTTCTTGTATTACGTACCCACATAACTTATAGTAAATTTCTACAACCTGAACACCGGATCAGTATCTGCAGTTTGATATCTCAATTAACAACTTGAGTTTCAATATATCAACAAAAAAAATTATTGATTCAACTACCTAATTTATTCTCTGGTGTCGACTGTAGTGAAGACAATAGTAACACACTAAACACATTATTGTGTTCACACCCTGAACTAAATGAAACTATTGTTGAAGAATGTGATGACAACAAACAAATTAGAGCACACGTCACTCTTCTAACTCCCAGATTTAATGTATAGTAATCGCTATTGAGCCATTTGAGACTCTGGACTCCTCCCCTTTTCATTGACTAAATTTTCAATTCCGATAATAACAGGGGCAATCCAATTTAATATCCGGAATCCGGAATCAACTCCACCATTTAATATCCTATGACATCACATCCCAACTAAGAAACGCCCCCCAAATAAATCCTCAATCATCCATATGGTTAGCAGTTTGCCATGATTAATTTGGATTACCAAATGACGCTAAAAACTGCAGTTCAGCACATGCAATTCAACGTCAAAATCCCAATACTACTACAGAACACCAGTGAAATTTATTGTCTGATAAGCGCTTCAACATCACTACTCCTAAGACCTAACTCATGGTTTTGAAATGACAAATTATTAATTTCTACAAACCCCTATGCTGAATATCAACATCTAGATCACAGATTTCCCAGCTTATTAAATTACAACAGCTCAAGTACTATCACTGTCTTAATGATTTGAATCACTTGCGTCGACATCTCGCAGCGCAGGTAAGAACGCCACCACCCCTGCCATTATATTTTCTAAATCCTCATCAGTATCATTATCGAGCCCTTCATTTTCTATTGGACTGTGGAGATTGTGAAGTTGCTCAAGAAAAACTTGTAAGCCATGCATATCATAGGTGTCGGCACTCAATTCAAGGCGACCACTTATGTCCTGCATTCTTGAGCTGTATAATTCAGGATGGAATGTAGTATCCCATAAAAACGAGCCAGACTTGACATGATGCTGGAACACGGAAACTAGTAGACGTTAACTAGGAAATAAGCAAACCAAGCTAATAGTAAGAAAACGTAAAAGGTAATAAGACAGTACTTTAGAAACAATGGTCGAGTTTCAATAACATAAAACTATCCACTACTGGTGTGTACTAGGAAGTACACACCAGCAGTATATTAATGTTTTCTACCATCAAGCATCTCATTTCCATAAATAAGGACAACATATAATATTTTTAACATCATAAAAAGAAATATCAAAATTAGTAAATATTGTTATCCTTGGTATTGATAGGCTTAGACCATTTCTCTTACTATATTCCACTTACATCAGAATATTAGAAGAGAAAACCGCAAAGGAATGAAAGGTCCGAGGTTCTGAGTAAAATCATAGTAATTTAAAAGACATACACTCCCATCCCCTGAAGTAAGTTTACCTTTCTAGCATCATGAATACCACCAGCAATCAATACATATGTCAAGTAATACTACATTTGGCATAAAAAAATACACTCTGAAAATCATTCCACAATATCTTCATATTACAAGAAGCAAAAGCTATAACATGACCACAAAGAAACAGCACATAGCAATAAAATTAATGCTTCAAACATTAACAGTAAAGCATTTCCCAACTACTACATGAAAAACAAAAGATACAAGGGAAGCAAATTTAAGTGAAGATATATCGAGGTACAATCTGTTTCGAGAAAATCTTATGATCTTACGCTGTTGTGCATAACAATTAGCAACTAAACAGGATCCTCTTTCAAGTGTTAACTGATCAGGCAGGGATTTGTTGTTCATGCTTAACATCAACTTCTGATACGTGTTAAAAACTATTAGGTTAGATGTCTTAATAGAAGCTTATGTAAAGTTCTATAAAGATTGTTCAAGACCACAAGTGAGAACATAGTAAAGGTTATTGTAATGTGGTTGATGACTGGAACGAGAGAGAAATCATGTATGTTAAAACTGATTCAGAACAATGTTTCTGGAACTTTTGGAAGCTTGAGGGTCTTGTAATGATTGGGTATTTGGATGGTGTATATCTAGAGTAGTGGGTCCAGAAAGAGATGATTAGGCATATGGTTTAATGTTTAAAGATCCAGGGCTTTACAGTTACTAAAAACTTGAGATAGAAGAAGAGGAAGAAACAGTACTAGTCACTGTAACTAGAGTAACATCATGTGAGATAACAAGACCACACACAAGTTGAAATAATTGGGCAGACGTATGAATTCAGCAATGCAACATGATCTATAAAATAATTGGGCAGACCTTTGAATACTGAATAGATTTCACAAATGAAAAAAAGAATGTGAAATCAGAGAAAGATATACCTTATAAAAACAACTAGTCCCAAATGGGCAGCTCCCATTCCCAAAGTCAAAGTGCTTGCAATCAATAGACCTGAAAGATAATCACTTATCAGTACGAGTACGTAACAAAAGAAAGCAGATGCGAGAGAAACTCAATTTTACTTCAGCTTGGCCTTGTAGGTTTCAACAATCTCATGCTTTTCTTCTTTCGAGGAATACCAAATGACGCTAGGGATGACAAAGTACGAAAGCTTGCGACATATAGGGCAAGATCTTAATGCAGAATGAGGATCCATGCCAGATGCTGAAGAACTGCTACGCCAATTCCTGATGCATGATATACAAAATGGATGATCACATTCCGATAATATCCCAAATTTCCGTTCTGCTGGTGTCGGCTTTGACAGGACATTCTCAAGGCAAACACTGCACTCTATTTCTTGACTATGTGTCAGTGCTTCTAAGTGCCTTTGCCTCTTCTCACATATTTTCATGTGTTCTTCTCTTTCCTGAGGTCTGAATGGATGCAAACAATGTTTCTTACAGGTAGGACAAAGATCCCCATGAATGTGAGGGCAATTTAGACCATGTGGACATTCACCAGCAGCAGCAAAGGAGCATATTGGTCGGCTAGCAGGATCAACACCCCCAACATCTACAAAATCATCCTCAGTTAGTAGTGTATCACTACTCACAAAATTCTCTTCCCAAGCAGGTTGACTGGGAGGGTAAAATGGTCGAGTAGAAGCTGAGCGATCAGCACTAACAGCAGTTGCAGTTCCAGAAGAAAATTCACTGGCTGAAGAAACATCTGCCGATGAAGACACGTCTGGAGACTGTAACCGAGAAACTTTGACATGATCGTATCTACATCGACTTCCATACGCACACAGACCCTTTTGGTAGAATGTACATATCTGCAATAACATGGGGAAAGCGGAAGAAAATAAATTTCATTACAGCATCAGAAATTGCTAAAACTCCAAGCAGGTTGACAGAAACTTACGTTATTTGGTGGGGCCTTCCAATCATGTGAATACTCGCAGTGTTCCCCTTTTAGACATGCACCATGAGCAAAGAATTTGCAAAGAACCCTGAGAGAATAAAAGCCATCAGAAATCGTGTGTAATCTGTTTTAAAATGTAGTAGTATGCAAACATCAAGCCGAATTTCCTATGATCTATTTTTCTTCGAGTCAACTTTATAAGATAAAAATGGTAGTCCTTACTAAATCAAGATTTCCTATGATGATCAAGCCGAATTTCACCCTTTTACCTTCAAACTATACTAGAGAAACTTTCTCAAATCACAACTATGTGATAGAATTTAAATTTCTCAAATCACAACTATGCTTTCATCCTAATATTTTCGAAGTTGTTGGCAGAGAGGGTTGAAAGTTTGAATATCCATGTATAAATGATTTGCCTTCTTTGCAAGAGCCTAACTTCTGATATTCAGTATTTCCAATCCTTACGAGGGGATCCAGTCTACGAGTTTTGTCCAGTCGCTTTATTTAAAAGTAAGATCCAGGTGATAAACCAGAGAATCTTAACTGATGAAGTAAAATTGATAGGATTAAACCAGAGAAAGCATTAATTCTTACAAAAACGAACACTTATCTTAACCAGAAGAGAATGTGCATAGCACAAAAAAGACTGTCATTCGAAAGTTCTGTCCAAACAAAACTGTTCATTTTAAGACCAGAACCATTTCCATCCTTATGATAAATAAATTT